CCTTTGACTGTTTTTGACGTATAAATACGTCTTACAAGCCAATGTTTCTGACGTATATGTACTCAATAATTGTAGCGGCTTCAAATCAAGCAGGAGAAAGCTGGTAGGCCCACATATGAGAGAATGGGTCTGTGTGCACCACACAAAAAAAATCCTGCAGCACACATTGCGTAATGAGAAAAAAAAACTGATCGTTTTTTTGGAATAAAACGCCGACTTTGAGGTGTATTTTCATATAGTATTTATCGTTGTATTCGCGTTTTCATGGTCTTAGGTGATAAAATGGAAAACATATTACAGAAATAGAGATGATTTTCATTACTCTGACGATGAAAACGACCTTGAAACTGAGCTCAAAGTAGCGGAAATGTTCGATTTTTACCAATGTTCAGGAGTAAATAAATCACACCACACGTCCAATACACGTCAACTGGGGAGTCTAATATTCTTTCACTAGTGCACTGATATTATTTATACCATTTTTACAATAATGCAGTAGTCTGCATAACAGTAAATTTTGTATTTTTTTGTATGAATAAAAATCAAAATAGAAAGCAATAATAATATAAGAGGGGCCTAGAGATGTGATTAATGAACAGAGCATATGTTATTTTAGTGCCACGAATGTCTACCTTGTTTATTCTGGACCCTATTTTGAAATTGGCATCTTTTTTAGTTTGTGTGAAATTGGCCAAATTGCCAATTTCTGACCACCATATTGGGTAGTCCAAATTAGTAAATGGGAGGTTTCTTGTACTCAGCTGATAGATAAAATGGAGCTCTAAAGAAATAGCTATGAGTTTGGTCAACTGGAACAATGGAATTGGCTGAAAATAGGGCTCAAAGTCGGCAAAATCGCCGATATGCATGTGTCGCCGAGACCGCTAACTTCGCAGGAGCATAATTCCACGAGTTTTCGACCAAATTTCGAACTTTTGGTGTCATTACCATCGGGAAAAGATTCTCTATCATTTCATAAGAAAAAATATTTTTTCTTTTCAAAAATTGAGTGACATAGAATGACAGTTTCAGAAAGGGGCCTGAAACAGTCAAAGGGTTAAATAGAACTCGAAGTTGGCAAAACCTCTGTGTCAATTGCACCCAGACCGTAACTTTGCACTTAGATAATTCTGCAAGTTTTACTTAAAATTTTCTACTTTTTGGTGTCATTAATTTCAGAAAAAGATTCTCTACCATTTTGGATTTTTTCTTTTTAAAGAAAAGTGGATGACACTGGAAACAATATTAATTTTGGGGGCTTGGACAGTAAAAGTGTTAATCACTTTAAAAATTGGTATTGGTTTGCAATTAGTTTAGAGATAAGTTTGTATTTTTTTAATTTACTGCATTCATTTATGCTTCATTGTACAGCACTAAATAATCCACAGTAGTTTAGCTTTCTTTTTTTTTTGAATATAATTTTAAGGCACTGCTATATACTGTATATACTATATTGTCCAACTACTGTACAGTCATCCATATATTTAATAAACAATATGCATTAAAAAATGTAAGGAAAAGGCTCACATACAGTAAGCCTGTCTTTGGAAAGGACACAGCCTGAAGTATGTAACATGCAAGTTATTTTTGAGAATACAGCTCTTTATCAGGTATAAAATAAGAGATCATGACTGGAAATTACAAACCCAAGTGGGATCATTACAGGGGTTCAAAATTAGATATGACAATACTATTTTGTGTCAGTGGGTCAAGAGTTACAAAACTAAAGAGGTCACCCCTTGGGTAATTGCACACAGGAAGTACTTCTGTAAGCAAAGCAGCTGGGGAAAGTTAAGCTGTGTTTAAAGACAGGCGAGCAAACAAGTCAAACTTTTTATTTCAATATATTTCAGTCCTAGGATCTTGTTCACTCCAAACATTTGTGGGACATGAGAAACATAGGTTTAAATATGTGCATCATGTACGGTGCCAAAAGTTAAGCTATTTGCCACTAGATAGGTCATGAAGCTAAGGTAACTAATGCAATGAGGAAAGGCTAAAAGGTGTTGAAACTGGTCACGAAAGCATAAAGTCGAGGGCAACATGATCACAATGCATAAAATACCCAGGTGTTGACAGACAATTGTATTTGATATTGAAGAACAAGAACTAGTGAGCATTGATGGAACCTGAACAAGTATGATTCACAAGGATGTTAGTAAGTAATTTTCCAGTGGAATGAGCTGGGGGCAAGGTTAGTGGTAAACTTCATATACTTAAAATATACTATTGTAAGAGCCCACAAGGACAGATTATTATTATTATAATCAAAAAGAAGCGCTAAGCCACAAGGGCTATACAGCGCCCACAAGGACAGAACTGACCAAGACAAGATTGAGAGTAACAAGGCAGGGTAAGGAGCTGGAAATCGACCATTGAAAAAGACAGCTTAGCGAGTAAACATGCACACGTATATGCAACATATTTCTTTCAGTAACCTTACTGCTATGCTCTATTAATTCTTCTTTCAACAAACCAGCCATATCCCACCGAGGCAGGGTGGCCTAAAAGGAAAAACGAAAGTTTTTTAAATTTAGTAATATATACAGGAGAAGGGGTTACTATTATTATTGTAATCAAATACATAAAGCGCTACACCAACAAGGGTCATGCAGTGCTGCAGGGCAGAAAATAGTGCTGGGGCTATAAACAGCTAGGTGGAGAGGGGATCAGAGGTGAGGGGGAGAAAAGGGCTAGAAGGGATGCTAGGGGCTGTGTATCAAAGTTTGTATAGTAGAGCTGACAAAAAGCCAGTGATCGTAAGTCAAAGGCAGGGCCGTCTGCAAGAAGGGAAGATAAGGTAAGAGTGGTAGGGCGGCAGCATTGGCGAGGGGTAAATTCCGAGAGCTTGTTGGTAAACCGGACATTTCACAGGAAAGTGAAGAACCAAAATAGGGACCCAACAAACCTCACAGAGAGGAATAGGGTGTTGTTCCATAAGGCGAGCATGGCCAGTGCAAAGATGGGAGAGCACAGTCTCCCGTCACAAACCTAAAAGCAGTTCAACCGAGTGCAGTTTGTCATGGTGCATGTCCAACCACCATTGTTGCCAACAGCTGCGAAGACAGGCAGAGATGACTAAAATAATCCCTGACTGGAATACCTCTATAGGAAACCAGAAAATCATGTACCACTGACTGCGCAGCAACATCTGCCTGTTCATTGCCCTGCACATCAACTTGTCCAGGGGCCCAACAGAAAATGACATCTTTGTTTTTTGCTAGCCACACAGCACAACCAAAGTTGAATATGAAGGACCAGTGGATGAGGGGAATCAAATTGTTTAATGGTCTGTAAAGCGCTAGGGGAATCTGAGATGATCACAAACGCCAAAGGAGACGTACATGCAATGCAGAGAAGTGCTATGAGGATGGCATACAACTCAGCAGTAAAATTACTAGCCGAGTCTAACAAATGACCCCAGAGAACATCGTCAGGGAACACCACCGTGAGCCCAACACTGTCAGAAGAATTAGAACCATCTGTACAAACAGTGACAGGATGAGCATGCAATCAGAAGTGATCAAGAAAGAGAGAGCAAGAAGTAGCTGTAGGTAGGAGAGCTTTGGTGCATGGTAGTAGGGGAGAACAGACAAACCATCAGAACCTCCCAAGGGGGAAGGGAAAAGGCAGACACTACATGAACATACAAGAGAGGCAACTTGAGAGAAGACCAGAGTGAAGACAAAGAGAAAACAGTCAGAGTAAGCAGTGGCGCCAAACAAATAACTGGTTCCTACTAACGTCTTGAGACCAATCTATATGTAGAAGGAACACGAAGGTCATGAGAGTGGACAAAGTAACAAAGGCAACGAGCATCGTGACAATTGGCTAAGGAACATTCGCCTCAGCATTGAGGCTTTCAACAGGGAATGAACGAAAGGCACCAAGGCATAAACATAGACACTGAAGGCCAAGAAACTTGACTATCACATTCTGGGATATGCAAACCATGTAAATACAATTAAATATCTGGGACAAGAGGACGTCTAGTGAAGGTAATGAAATGGGTTTTCACACTAGAATATTTAAATCCATGAGAAGTGGCCCAATGGGAAACACTGTTAACCCTTTGACTGTTTGGTCATATATATACGTCTTACAAGCCAATGTGTTTGACATATATATACTCAAAAATTCTAGCGGATTCAAATCAAGCAGGAGAAAGCTGGTAGGCCCACATGTGAGAGAATGGGTCTATACGGTTAGTGCGCGCAGTATAAAAAAAAAAATCCTGCAGCATGCAGTGCATAACGAGAAAAAAACTCAGTGTTTTTGGATGAAAGCATAGACTTTGAGGCATATTTTCGTATAGTATTTATGGTTTTATTCTTGTTTTCTTGGCCTTATTTGACAGAATGGAAAACATTATAGAAATAGAAGTGATTTTGATTGGTTTTATTATGAAAAGCACTTTGAAATGGAGCTCAAAAAGGCAGAACTGTTCAATTTTTGCCAGTGTTCAAGAGTAAACAAATGATGTCATTGTTCAATAAATGTCCACCTAGCCATTCTAATACACAGTCATGAATGGGTTGACATTATTTATTCAATTATTACAATAATGCAGTAGTCTGCATAACAGTAAATTTCTATTTTTTTGTATGAATAAAAATTCAAAATAGAAAGCAAGAGTATTTGTAATGGGCCTGGAGACGTGACTGATGAACACATAAAATGTTATTTTAGTGCGAGGAATGTCTGCATTGTTCATTCTGGACCCTATTTTGAAATTGACATTTTTTAATTTGCATGAAATTGGCCAAATTGCCAATTTCTGACCACTTTATCGGATAGTTGAAATCGGTAAATGGGCGGTTTCTTGTACTCGATACAACAAATGTAGTTCTAAAAAAATAGCTATGAGTTTGGTCAACTGGAACAATGGAATTGGCCAAAAATAGGGCTCAAAGTGGACGAAATTGCCAATGCGTAAATGTCGCCGAGGTTGCTAACTTTACGAGAGCGTAATTCCCTAAGTTTTCCATCAAATTTCGTACTTTTGGCGTCATTATCATCGGGAAAAGATTCTCTATCGTTCCATGAGATTTTTTTTTTTTTTCAAATATTTTGCAACACCAGGAGACACTTTAGGATTTGGGGTCGCGAGAGTCAAAGGGTTAAGTGCATCCTGAAGGGAGGCCGCTACCAGGCGACAGTCAGTGCCTACGTAAGTTATAGCGAAGTCATCAACATAGTGTTGACTAAATACACGATGGAAGATAAAAGGGTAGTGCTAAGGACACAACCTTGTGGGGCTCCCTCGGTCTAACAGTCTGAGGAAAGCGAGGCGCCAACACGGATTTAGAACAAATAACCATATTCCATGTTCCACCTTAAATATACATATTTGAAAACATTCAGCAGTTTCATTTGCACTGACCAGATACCAAAGAGCTCTAATCAGGCTCTGGGGATACCTGATCAAGCACTAATTACAAAGAGCTCTGGTCCTCCCTCCTTGGGTTGTTTTATGTTAGGCTCAAGTGAATTATCCTAAATATGTAAGTTACCACAAACAACCAAAAGCATAACAAATTCATGTAATGCAGTGGAAAACACTTTTCTCTTAGTTTGTTTACAATGCAAAAAAGAATCACTGCAAAGCTGCCAGATTTACCACTGTTCCATCAAGACTAACCAATATTTTATTTAATTTTTCAGTTTATTAATATGAAATGTAAATCAACTGTATAGTGTAATGTAAACATATATTGTTCAGCTTCTTAAGGTATGGGGAAGTGCTGAAGGTAAAAGTAAATCCTAAGTTCTCTTCCAATCTATACTATACAAACCATCTCGTCTCTATTCACCACAATCACAATGGTGATTGTGGTGAATAGAGACGAGATGGTTTTCCCTGCGATCATCACAACAAACAACTGTGTAGCCAACAGACTTCGTCCACTGTTTTTACATTAACTAACCAAGCGAATTTTGACCATGAAATCGAGGTCTATGAAATCAAGGATTTACTGTACTTTTTTTTTTGTCCATATTTTGGCTCTAACAACTCTAACAATTCGGTATTTGAATGCTTTGTTCAGTAAAAAAAAAAAAAAAAATGTCATTCGGTAGTTGACAGTTTGCTCAGCACACTATCAAACAAACAAGACCTGCCAGAATTTCCCTGTAAACTATTTTGCATTTCTTTGCATTTTTTATATTTGTACAGGTCCACATCTCTTTATCTGAAACCCTTGGGGCCAGTATTGTTTCGAATTTCAGAATTTTTTGAATTTCAGAATGATTCTCAACGCCACTACTCAGCGCTAAGATGACCGACTCCACACTCCACGAAAAAACTTCGATTTTTGGAACTTTTCAATTTTCAGATTTTGGATAAAGGGATGTGGACCTGTATAAATATGTCACCATGGGCATCAAAAGAAGAAAGTTGGTTAGAATTTTTTTTTCAGCATTAACAGCCTTCTGGAATGAATTAAGTTCGAGTACCGAGGTACTACTGTATTTCACATCGGAACCTTTTGACCCCTTTTCATGGTAAATCTCCCATCAAGGGAGGTTCCTTGATGCTGGTGAGGGGCTCTTGATCTAGGAAATTGGATCTGTGCTCCAGTTCCCTGAACTGAGCCTGAATACCTTCCATCCCCCCCCACATGCACTGGATAATCCTAGGGGTTTAGTGTTCCCCCATAATTATAATATAATCGGGTTAAATCTGTACACGATATATATGAATATTTTTTTGTGGTGGTGGTGGGGGGGGGGGGGCAAAAAGAAGAGGCCAAAAAAATTGTGGGTTATACACTTTTGGGTTGTACTCGTGTATATACAGTGGTCCCTCGAGTTATGATGGGCTGGAGTTACGACTTGCCCTCACAGAAGTAGTTTGTTTTGCGTGGCAATTAAAAAGTGGAGATACAATATGTGTACAATGGTACAACTGTTGTGGGTCGCACAGTATACCTGGAGAGGGTTTCAGGGGTCAACGCCCCCACAGCCCAGTCTGAGACCAGGCCTTGTGGTGGATCAGGGTCTGATCAACCAGGCTGTTACTGCTGGCCACACACAAACTGACATAGGAACCACAGCCTGGCTTGTCAGGTACTGACTTTAGGTGCCTGTCCAGCACCTTCTTGGAGACAACCAGAAATCTATTGGTAATCCCAAGATTAACCTAAGTTGCCCAAAATGCTCTGCATAATCAGGGCATTGTTATAAATATAGTAATATTCCAATGATGTCAGCTAGGTCTGTAATAGTTATATCATGTACTTGTAGAAATAAAGATTAATATTGTTGCTGTTATTACACAAGGCCTTTATATTTATTTAAAAGTGAAAAAAAAGGAAATTCACTTTACAGCGATTTTTGCTTTACGGCAGTAGCCTGGAACCTAACCTGCTATATAATCGGGGCCCTCCCATATGGCCAGCAACACAGCAGGGTGCATACACCTGCATCCTGTGGAATGGATTAATGTTGTAACTCGAGGGACCACTGTACAGTAGATGTTAAGAGAAAGATGAGGGGTCTACAGTGTTCTGTGGCTTATGAATATACATGGATGGCGCTCTTACTGTAAAGAGACCAAGAGCAAGTAAGGTGGGAACCAAGTTATAATGAGATAGAAAAGCTTAGTCTATGTTGACCAGGTTTTTTTGTTGATGTAGTACCAATAATAGAGAAAAGGTACAAAACATGGCGAGTGAATTTTAGTTGGTGGAGCAAAATGGTTTGCAAAAAAAAAAAAAAAAATAGGATTTTGATATTCTGAGTGGTGGAATGGGTTAAAATGAAAGTATTAGGTAGTAAAATAGGTTTAGAAACAATGTAGAATAGGTTGAGATAAGAGATTTGGGTAGTAGAATGGGTTAAGACGAGTGATTTGGGGAAGTAGAGTAGGATAAGATGTAGGTTTTTGCTGTAGTAGAATAGGATAAGATGTAGGAGTTTTTGGTTGTAGAATGGGTTAAGATGCAAGTTTTGGGGTTTTAGAATGAGTTAAGATACAAGATTTGGGGTAAGAGAATAGGTTCAAATGTGAGGGTTGAGAGCAGAATGGGTTAAGATGCGAGGTCTTGTGTAGAAAAACAATCTAGTATGGTTTGGACATCAGGCAGAGATGACTGATGGTAGGATTCAACAGATATACGGTAAGTCTTCACTTAATGTCATTGATAGCTTCTTGGAAACTGACTGTAAAGAAATGACATAACTATACTACACCTCACTGTCCATCTTCAAATCTCTTTAAAATTTCTAGTTTTCTTTCTAATGTCACACTTCTCTGGGTTTTTTTTTTCTTTTTTTGGCCACAGACATCAAAGGTGCACAGTGCACCTCAAACACTCGTTGCAACAGGGTTAAATCAAGGAATAAAAGTCTGCAAAGTGAAAATTGTAAAGAGAACCTTCTACCACCACACAGCTCAAAAACGATAACAAATACGGCAGGCTTGCTGAGCACTTTCATACTGCATCATTTATTGTTATGCATTTGATAGTATACTTTAAGAACTTTTATTTTACAATAATTTGTATTCGTTGTATTCATTTGACCTTTTTTCTCATCAACATTATAACAAAACATTAAATGAAACGTCATTCAAGGACCTGCTTTACAACAGTGAAATAAAGGAGGTTAAGTAAATGGAAGGGAATAGTGAAGTACTTCTACAAGAGGCCATGCTTCAACAAGGTTGACTGGAGATTTTTTTATTGCTGCCACCCCTTTGGAAGGTAGCTCCAAGAAGAAGGAATTGTATAGTGATACACTAAGTATGGTTTCTATTTTTCTGTTAGTTCTCAAAGAAGAAGAAAAAAAAATATTACACGAGAATGAAGTCATTTGGAAAATGAGATGATATTTATGCAAAAGAAATAAATCATTGACTACATGACAATAAATATATGTATTAATCTGATATTTTTAAATATGTATACAATACTGGATGGAACATACTCTACTTGCATCAAGTTCATTAGTGTGTAAAATAAGAAATAAATGATTACAGAGTGTACCACTAGAAGCTACCATTATTTAGTTAATGGAAAGAGGAATATAAGCCAGGAGATTTCCCAAAAACCTGCACATAACAAAAGCGTTCTGTGCATCAAAAACACCGGAAAAGAGTTTGGTAATAGCTAAATAAGATCAGAAAAAACACAGATTTCTGCACAATTTAACAGGTTGAAAAAAAAAAAGTTTCTTGGTTAGAACTTGAACAAAACAGTTGCCAGAACAAATTCTTTTAACCCCTTAACTGTCCAAACGTAGATCTACGTTCACTCGCCCAGTGCTCCGAATATTTTGAAGAAAAAAATTTTTTTTTTTTTTTTTAAGATCAGTACTTACCAAGATATAAGCTCACAAAGCTGGAGCTGGATGCTCACCTGACAGCAACATGGAGTCCTGCCGCTTGCAGAAGTGTTGCCGATATACCTTTTTTTCTCATTTTTATACTATTTTCAATAATTTTTATGTTCTGAAAGATTGAATATCAGATTGGAGGGAGAGAGTATGGAGGAGGTGAACGTATTCAGATATTTGGGAGTGGACGTGTCAGCGGATGGGTCTATGAAAGATGAGGTGAATCATAGAATTGATGAGGGAAAAAGAGTGAGTGGTGCACTTAGGAGTCTGTGGAGACAAAGAACTTTGTCCTTGGAGGCAAAGAGGGGAATGTATGAGAGTATAGTTTTACCAACGCTCTTATATGGGTGTGAAGCGTGGGTGATGAATGTTGCAGCGAGGAGAAGGCTGGAGGCAGTGGAGATGTCGTGTCTGAGGGCAATGTGTGGTGTGAATATAATGCAGAGAATTCGTAGTTTGGAAGTTAGGAGGAGGTGCGGGATTACCAAAACTGTTGTTCAGAGGGCTGAGGAAGGGTTGTTGAGGTGGTTCGGACATGTAGAGAGAATGGAGCGAAACAGAATGACTTCAAGAGTGTATCAGTCTGTAGTGGAAGGAAGGCGGGGTAGGGGTCGGCCTAGGAAGGGTTGGAGGGAGGGGGTAAAGGAGGTTTTGTGTGCGAGGGGCTTGGACTTCCAGCAGGCATGCGTGAGCGTGTTTGATAGGAGTGAATGGAGACAAATGGTTTTTAATACTTGACGTGCTGTTGGAGTGTGAGCAAAGTAACATTTATGAAGGGATTCAGGGAAACCGGCAGGCTGGACTTGAGTCCTGGAGATGGGAAGTACAGTGCCTGCACTCTGAAGGAGGGGTGTTAATGTTGCAGTTTAAAAACTGTAGTGTAAAGCACCCTTCTGGCAAGACAGTGATGGAGTGAATGATGGTGAAAGTTTTTCTTTTTCGGGCCACCCTGCCTTGGTGGGAATCGGCCAGTGTGATAATAATAATAATAAAATTACAATTTATAATAGTTCTTCTGATTTCATAGCCAATCTTTGTTCTGGCACTAAGATACTGAAATTGTACTCAAATAGTCACAAACACACTGACAGGTGAACATTTTCACCTGCCTTGGTCATTTACTATTGTCTAGAAATACAAAGTATTTATAGGTACCAGCAATGTTTTAAACACGCTGGAGAGAGTCAGCCAGGCTGACAAATACGTATTACACATTCCAGAATCGTTCCTCTTTACTTAGAGGGGCATAGGTTATAGGACATTCTGGCAGGCTGACACTACCAGTGGTATAAAAAATGAAAGGATGTTGCAAAAATGTTGCGCATGGGTTATTATCGAGGTTTTTGATATTTCCTCGATCACTTGTGGCCACATGCATCTCAAAGCCACTAAATTTTGGATCAACATCACTTTCCTCTTAAAAGGGGAGCGTTAATACGACATGACATCAGTGAATCACTGGTGTTTGCCATGCTATTTGCTCTAGCCAACATTCAATTGAACTGGTGCTCCCACTGTGCACATCAAGTGTTAAGAACCATTCTATACTGACCGGGCATCTCGGGCCAATCGTGCCTCATGGAGGCAGGAAAAATAAAATGTTGATCTACGTTTGGAGTGCTAGTGGTACTAACGTAGATCTACGTTTGGACAGTTAAGGGGTTAAAAAATGTAAAATTCTGAAACTAGCAAGCACAATGCAACAAATTATCAAGTGAAAGTTACCCAAGCAATATTATGTGCATACATCCAGTTTATAAGGCCTATGAGATGAAACACATCATACCTTATACCTTCAATAACAACTTACCAATTACTGTCTTTATGAAAGTGTCAGCCATACCTTAGACCAAATCAACCATCTAACAATTTATTATAATCTTTGAACAATTACATCAAATAATTTCATCTGTCAAAAATAATTTTTGGGCATAAATATTATATATCATAACAAATTCTAATATTAACATTTATATAAAATTTAATCTGGTATTACTCAACAATTCATTTATAAAAAAATAACATTTTTTGGTCAATACTAAATGAAAAACGTATTGTGGTTTCAATACTCCTCTGATAAAACTTTAAACCTTGATGAAAATTATTTGCTTAAAACTCTAGCTTACACAGCTGTTCGCATATCAGATGAGTGATAACCATACATAAAGCTGCGGGGAATGGATGTGGTCGTTTTTAGCAGTCCATGACTTTGTTCCTCCCGAGCATGAGAGTGTGCAACCACAATTGATAAGCATCGTATCCACTCTTCTGCATTACTGGAGTCCTGGGAATGTAAGTTACAAAACATTACTACATACCCATTTGTATATCGAAATACAGTTTATATACAGCCTCTCCTTTCTTAGTGACGTACTCGTTTACCGATGCCTCAGACTTACGATGGGCTTTCTGACCAGTATTTATGCCTGTAATATATATTAGAGCTGATTTCCTCTATTTTACTTCAATATAGAGTACACCACTGTAAAAACATTTAAAAATATACCAGAAATGTTATAAATGGTGCAAAGGTGACATTAAAACAATATCAAAGATGGATGACACAAAACCACCACCATTATAGTATGCTCCTTGCTTAGCGATGAATTCGTTTAACGACGTGGTCTTAAGAATGGAACTCCGTCATTAAGTGAGGAGAGGCTGTACTCCTTTTTGCAATTAAAAGGTGACAGTAACAAGTACTACTTTCATAGATTAGGTACAGCAGATTAAAAGATTATCATTTAGAGAGGTGCTATCATGTCTATACAAGCATGAAACAAAGACCTATCTGTACTCCATGACCTAATAATCATCCCTCTCCCTCTTGCTACCCAATACCCCTGCATCCTTCCCTGCCCAGTGACGCTGTAGGACCCTTGTAGGTTTAGCGCTTCTCTGATTATAATAATAACAAAAGCCTATTAACATTTTGGGTTACAGTTTTATGTTTCTAGAAGATGTGATCAGAGACCAGGCCTTAGAAACAATGATCATCGTAATCAACATTCCTAGACTGAAACCAAACGTGATAAGTTTCCTGTTTGTGGAAATTTTTTAGGATGGTTTTCATGGTTTTACTGGCTGTTTCTTGGTGCCAGTAGACAGACCAGAAGATATAGCAGTTTAAGACTGGAAATGGCCTGAAAGAGGCATCAAATTGGTGAGAAATGGTAGATTTTGGGCAATACACTAGAGGAAGGATGAGACGTTCCCTATCCATCTAGATATCTTATTGGCTTTTATTAGGTCAGCTTCACTTACTGGGACAGTCTGAACAATTACCAAGCATTCTTGATTATGGGTTATTAGAAAAAATGAAAAAAAAAAAAATGTTGGATTTTTTGTGTGACAAAGGATTCTAAGTGGAGGGCAAATGTTGTATAGGAGGAGCTGGGGAACATGATTAACAGGGGAACACAGCTATAGTGGCTGGAATGCCTAAAGTTTTTATTTTGGACTTTTTTTTTTAGCTGGAATTTCTTAAAAATAGTGTATTACTATTATTATTATAATCATCACCAAGCTCTAAACCCACAAGTCTAAAAATAGCATAGAATCAGCCATATTACTGATTTCTGAATGCATAATAAGATTTGATCAATGGATAGTACAGAAGGCATATTAGCAAAATAGCCGGAATTGGGCTGGTTTGAGCACTGAAATTTCATAAATTTTACATCAAATTTTTCATTTTTGTGCCATTACTTCTAGTAAAACATACATCATTATTTTTATATATACGAGATGATTGTGGATGTTATGAATGAAAAGAAGGTGGATGTCTTGGCTTTAAGTGAAACAAAGCTGAAGGGGGTAGGAGAGCTTCAGTGGGGAGAAATAAATGGGATTAGGTCAGGGGTTTCTAATAGAGCTTGAGCTAAGGAAGGAGTAGCAATAATGTTGAAAGCTATAGCAGGAAAGGAAGGTATATAAATGTATAAATTCATTGATTATATAGAGTAAAATAAGGTTTGGATGTGAAAAGTGGGTCATAGTAAGTGTTTATGCACCTGGAGAAGAGAGAAGTGTAGAAACAGAGATTTTGGGAAATGCTGAGCGAGTGCATGGGGAGTTCTGAACCAAGTGAGAGAGTACTTGTGGTGGGAGATCTCAATGCTAAAGTAGGTAAAAATGTTGTAGAGGGAGTAGTAAGTAAATTTGGGGTGCCAGGGATAAATTAAAATGGGGAGCCTTTAATTGAATTATGTGTAGAAAGAGGTTTGGGAGGTTTTAAAAATGCAGTATTTGAATGTGGGGAAGAAGTTTGTGGCTATAGGAGGGTGGGTACAGGAGGAAAGAGGAGTAATTGGTGGAATGATGAGGTAAAGGGTGCAATAAAAGAAAAAGGTAGCTTATGAGAGTTTTTTACAAAGCAGAAGTGATATAAGAAGGGCAGAGTATATGGAGAGCAAAAGAAAGGTGAAGAGAGTGGTAAGAAAGTGCAAAAGGAGAGCAAATGATAGAATGAGAGAGGCACTGTCAAGAAATTTTGCCGAGAATAATAAAACATTTTTGGAGCTAAACAAGTTAAGAAAGCCTAGGGAATGAATCAATTTGTCAGTTAAAAACAAGAGTAGGGGAGTTAGTAGATAGAGAGTTGGAGGTATTGGGTAGATGGTGGGAATATTTTGAGGAACTTTTAAATGTAGATGAAGAAAGGGAGGCAGTAATTTCATGCACTGGCCAGGGAAGTATAACATTTTAGGAGTGGAGAAGAGTAGGATGCGAGTGTGGGGGAGGTACGAGGGGCATTATGTAAAATGAAAGGGGGTAAAGCAGCTGGAACTGACAGGATCATGATGGAAATGTTGAAAGCAAAGGGATATAGTGTTGGAGTGGTTGGTATTTTTGTTTAATAAATGTATATATACATATCTATATGTACAGTGGACCATCTTCTGGGTGGATGGAAGACGGGAGGAGGGGATAGGAGAAAGGTGTACACTATTGTTCGGAAGGAGAATCTCCTTCCATTAGGACTTCAGGTACCAAGTCCTTATCTGGGGTTACTTCCCTTCTTTGTTTTTTAAAGACACTGGGAACAACTTGAGAGTCACTGGACGCCTGTCGCACAAAATATCTGTCCAGAGAGCTCTGTTTCTGGCGTTTCTTTAAGATTTGTCTGAAGTGGGACAACACTGTCATTGTACATGTTGCCAATATGGCCTGCAACAGCTTTGTCAGGGTGAAGTTCATCCATAAATGTTTGCACTTCAGTCCACTTTGCACAAATGTCCTTAATCTTTGAAGAAGCCACCTTCCTCCATCTCTCTTCCTCCTCCTCTGCAGCTATTTCCTGAGCTGTGATCTCTTGCTGTTGCAGATGAAGCTCTTGCAACTCTTCAGTGGTTAGCTCTTCCCTGTGGTCCTCCACCAACTGTTCCACATCCTCGCCACTCACCTCCCACCCTAGGGACTTCCCCAATGCTACAATAGATTCCACTACTGGCATAGGCTCCTTAGGGTCAGCCCTAAACCCTTCAAAATCCCTCTCTTGTACATATTCTGGCCACAATTTTCTCCAAGCAGAATTCAAAGTTCTGCAAGTCACTCCTTCCCAAGCCTTACCTATAAGGTTTATGCAAGTGAGGATATTGAAGTGATCTTTCCAGAACTCTCTTACGGTCAATTCAGTGTCTGAGGTCACTTCAAAGCACTTTTGAAACACTGCTTTGGTGTACAGTTTTTTGAAGTTTGAAATGACCTGCTGGTCCATGGGCTGGATGAGAGGAGTTGTATTAGGGGGCAAGAACTTCACCGTGATGAAACTAAACTCCTCCACTATTTGCTCTTCCAAGTCTGGAGGATGAGCAGGAGCATTGTCCATTACCAGGAGGCACTGGAGTGGTAATTTGTTTTCCAGGAGGTATTTCTTCACACTGGGGCCAAACGCTTCATTAAGCCAGTCTAGGAAAATTCCCCTTGTGACCCATGCCTTATTGTTAGCCTTCCACATCACACACAAATTACTCTTGGTGACACTGTTTTTCTTGAACACTCTGGGATTTTCAGAGTGATACACCAGTAAAGGCTTCACTTTGCAATCCCCACTAGCATTACTACAAAACATGAGAGTAAGCCTATTCTTCATAGGCTTGTGTCCTGGGAGTGCTGTTTCCTCCTGCGTGATGTAGGTCCTCTTTGGCATTTTCTTCCAAAAGAGGCCTGTTTCGTCAAAAACACTTGTTGGGGTTTGAATTCTCCAGTGTCTACGCACTCCTTAAACTCCCGTACAAACTTCTCAGCTGCTTTTTTGTCATAACTGGCAGCCTCACCATGCCTTATCACACTGTGAATGCCACTACGCTTCTTAAATCTCTCAAACCAACCTTTGCTGGCCTTAAAATCACAAGCATCACCACTCGTTGCAGGCATTTTCTTTACGAGATCATCATGCAACTGCCTTGCCTTTTCACATATTATCGACTGCATAATACTATCTCCTGCTAACTGTTTTTGGGTAATCCACACCAACAATAACCTTCCCACTTCTTCGAGGATTTGTGATCTCTCTTTCTGTCAGCATATCTACCCCTTTTTCTCCATGGGGAAGTGGAACAGAATTCTTCTTCCGTAAGCCATGCGTGTCTTAACAGGCGACTAAAATGCCGGGAGCAAGAGGCTAGTAACCCCTTCTCTTGTATATATTACTAAATGTGAAAGGAGAAACTTTTGTTTTTCCTTTTTGGGCCACCCCGCCTCTGTGGGATACGGCTGGTGTGTTGAAAGAAAAGAAAGATCTACCCCTTTTGCAACAACAGCACACTTTATTTCCTTTCCCTTCGCCACGATCAAAGTGATGGTTGAATGGGGTTTGCCATACATCCTGGCAAGTTCTGTAACATGCACTCCACTCATATTTTTCAATGATTTCCTTCTTGAATTCGATCGTGTTCCTCGCTTTCTTTACCAAAGGGCTTGCACTAGCTTTCCTTGGGCCCATGGTGACTTATTTAGCAGTTGCAAGCACAAAAAACAATGGATTATTATGAAATGTATTGTATGAACCCGCGGGGTGATGGTCACATGCTGGTAAACAATAGCACACCGAGTGTGAATGGTGCAGACTAGCTTTGTGTGTGCGGTGACAAGTGGATGTATACTGGACGTTCGCCGAATCACAAGTCCAATCATGAACCATGAGGCTAAATTTTGCCAAAAAACTTGTCGAAAGTCAGATTTCACGAGTCGATGCCGACAAAACTCGGGGGTACACTGTATGTGCTTCTAAACTTATATTCTGAGCACCTCTGCAAAAACAGTGATTATGTGTGAGTGAGG